ATATATTGTATGATCCTATTTATATGAAATGCCCAAAATAGGCAAATCTATAAACCCAAAGTGGGCCAGAGAGTAGAGGAATTGAGGGGTTGAAACTGACTAGCAATAGGTATAGAATTTCCTTCCGAGGGGATGGAAATACTCTGGGGTTAGGTAGTGGTGATGATTACACAATGCAGGAATACACTACAAACTATTGAAGTGAGTACTTCATTTTATAATTTGTTGAGGTGCTGGAAATTAAAACCAGCACACATTAGGTAAGCACTCTGTCACTGACCTACAGCCCCAGCCCCAAAGAGAATACCTTAAGAATGAATTCCAAACTGAAGTGCTATGGAAAGTCTCGACATAAAATTCATTTTCAGGAGCTGGAAATGGAATGCTGGATTTGCTGTGTTTATCTTACTGACTCAGCTACACCTTCCATTGTATTGCCTGATGCTCACCTAGATTTGGTTTGCTTGTTTGTCCCATTGGTCCGTGGGCTAGGAATGCTAAATTCAACATTGTTTTAAATTGGCAAGGTTGCCTTACTGATCTCCTCTTTCCTCCCCATCAACCGTGGCAAAGAACTGCTACTAACAACAGAGTGTGTCTGGATGTCTGTAATGTCCAGAACACCAAGATTTTTGTGAAATTAATTTTACAAGCCTTTAGAGTAGGATCGTGCAGGAAATGAATATACTATCCTCATACCTTACACATAACTGTTCATTTTGAACAGCTTTTATAGGCCCTAAACTCTGCTAGGTAGTAAAACTCAGTTTATCTTAAGACAGAAAGGAACAAAGATCAACCAACACTTCCATTAGTGGCCTCGAGGTAACCTGTAACACTTTCCAAGGAGTGCCGAGTGGTACGCCTTCCTTCCTCTCTACACCTGTGTCTTTGCTTCCCAAAGGCAGTCTGGCTCAACATGCTGTATAGCAAAACCAACTACATGCTGCCTTTAGGAAACATGCTTTTAATGTAAATACTCAATCCATGGAAAGTGGAAGAGCTGAAAAAGATAAGCCACCTTAGACCTGGTCAAAGTTGGAGTGGCTTTGGTAACATCAGACAGCATAAATTTTAAAGCAAAGAATATTGCCAAGGATACCGAAGGAAGATTGGTTCATAATGCTAAGGGATCGATCCATAAGGGAACGTTGTGATCTGAAACAAACACGCACTTGGTAACGAAGTTTAAAAATAGGTAAAGTCAAAGCTGGTAGGAGAGAAATGGATAAATCTATACTCACAGTGAGACTCGTCAATGCTCCTTTCTTTAAAATCAATGGGATGAGTAGTGAGGAAATCAATGAGGGTGCAGAAACGTGGATATCGCTAACTACATTAACATAGCTGAGATTTCTGGAACCATCCAGAAGTATCAGAATCTGTCTTTAAATGCTTGTGAAACATTTACCAGGGCAGACAACGTTTTAGGGTATAAAAATGAAGTGTCTGTATGTTTTTTAAGCCTAGAAATATCTTCCCTGGATATAATGGAATTAAATTAGGAATCAATAACAAAAAATGTTTCTGGAAGATTTTCAACATGGTTACTCACTACATTATACACTTCTTTAATGTGTATGTTATGGATAAAATAAAAGAGATTTTAAAGTATTTTGATATGGATAAAAGTGAAAATATATAAACATTTGTGGGGTACTGTTAAGGCAGTGCTCAGAGGAAACTTTATAATAGTAAGACCTTATATTAAAAAGTATATAGATCTTCACTTAATAACCCCCCTTCTACCTTCATAAGAAGAAATACACCAAGTATGACAGCACATGCCTTTCATCTCAGGGCTAGGGAGTCAGAGGCAGTCAAATCTCTGTGACTTCAAGGCCAACCTAATCTACATAGCAAGTCCCAGGTCAGCAAGGACAACATTGTTGTAGTATATTAAGGTGTGTTACTTTTGTTCATGTTGCATTTGTTTCACTCTGTGGAGGTGTGTTACTGTGCCTGTCTAAAACACCTGATGGTCTAATGAAGAACTGAACAGCCAATAGTGAGGCAGGAGAAAGGACAGGTGAGTCTGGCAGGCAAAGAGAATATATAGAAAGAGAAATCTGGGAGGAAAGGAGGAATGAGCCGTGCGGCGAGCTCCTTGACCAGCGAGGAAGAACGACCACCACATGAGGATTCTTCTCAGATCACACTTTATTGGAGCACCTCTTGGTTAAGGGAGAGCGGGAGGTGAGGGGCCCCGAGGACTAAACTGCCGCTGCTTATAAAGGGAATCAGGCAAACGTGCCGTACTGTGATTGGGTCCCGCCAGAATGCTAACATGGGGAGCCACGGGATAGGCTGAGGACATAAGGCCAATTACCATACTCGTGCATCATAGCCCAATATGGAGTTGTTTACAGCTAGGCTACCAGGAAGCCGGCGCCATCTTTGAATAGCGGCTCCCTACAGAGCCGGAGAAGGAGCTGTATGTATCAGGGAGCAGCCACTCACCTACACAGCAAGCCACAGAATAATAGTAAGATTTACAGAAGTAAGAGAATGGGCAAAGCCCAGAGGCAAAAGGTAGACAGGATAATTTACGTTAAGGAAAGCTGGCAAGAAACAAGCCAAGCTAAGGCCGGGCATTCATAAGTGAGAATAAGCCTCCATGTATGATTTATTTGGGAGCTGGGTGGCAAGCCCCCAAAAGAGCAGAAACAAAAAACCAACAACACTACATAGTAGACCCTGTCTAGAAAGAAGAAAAATGGACAAGGAGAAGGCCAAAGTAAGGAATTAACAAACGTCAAACTAGAACACCGAGGAATGTCAAGAGCAGTGGTATACAGGCAGAGGCAGGAGGATTCTAAGTTTATCACTAATCCTGTGCTGTATAATAAAACCATGGTTTAAAACTCCAAAGGCTCTATTATTGAGGGATT